CCGATTTTGGCGTCAATTGCTCGAGATCAGTCCCCTAGTTGGCCGAATCAGACTCGAAAGTCCTCTCCTTGCCGCCGACCATGGTGTTTTCAATTCCTTCCACCAAAACCATCGTTTCTTGGATGGAAATTTTTCACACAAGACGAAGGAATCGATCGGAGCTCACCTTGAGGCCATCAACTGCTTGAATCGAGCTTAATCAACGAAAATCCAAAATTGGGAGCTGTTGGGGGTGATAGTCCAGTTTCGCGCCGTTGGAGATTCTTTCCGCGTGAAGGGAGGCCGGAATCGTGGTCGTTGAGGCTTTAGGAGGCGGTTGCACCCACCCTCATCGCGCGGTGGTCGGAGAACGTGGAGGGAGAGGGGAGAAGGGGCTGCTGCTCCCTGGAACGAAGAAGGAGAAGAAAAGGAAAAAGAAAAGAAAGGAAAAATCTTGGGGCTTCTAGACCATTTCGATTCGATTGAAACTGGTTTGGTCTAATTCAATGATTTGGCTCGATTTTGCTTGGTTTATGGGGTTTTCACATGGTTTACGAATCCGATTTGGTTTATTTTTGTTATTTTAGTTAGGTTTTATTTTTTTATTTTATTAATTTATGTAGTAATCACTTACATACACACATGTATACATATTTATAATAAATTAATAGCTAGAGCTCCATATTTACTCTCGAAATTTCTAAAGGCTCTCAACTTGTAACTTTGATAATGTTTTGTGAGCTTGAGCCCAACTCCGTAAACTTGGGCTCGAATCAAAACTAAAAGGTATTTATAGCCCAAATAGTCAAAATTTCTGATTTTTAATTTAATAAAAGTTTTGAAAATAAAAATTCAGTGTATTTCACATCATCAGAAATAGAAGGTGTTTTACCTGAGTGTTTATTGAGGTCGTCAGAGGTAAGTACAACTTCTAGGGGTTTTTGAGCAGGAGAGTTGATTTCTCCTTCCTTATGAGGAGATTCTCCTCTTTTAGGCCTTCCAAGGCCTACTATCGTAGGTCCTCCATCCAAATCCAGAGACCCGACAACAGTTTCTTTTTAACAACAAAACGAGTTTTTCGAGTCATGGTGTTCTCTCAAAATTTAGGTGAAAGATGGAATGCACAAAAGTGGTCCACCGAGCGTGCCATTAAAGATTGTTGGTTCTTTTTTCCGAAAAAGAGCAACGAATCTGCTGGTTGACAGCTTGAGTTGGGAATTGCGGGCATGTCAAGTGTGTGAAGTACACTAACTGAAAATTAAAGTGCACTTGATCCGACTTCTAGTTTGTGGGTTTGGATCCACGGTATATGCTTTACCAGTTGTGCAGTTAAAGTAAATCTGAGCAAAGGAAATTGTAAAGAGAGTTTGATCGCTTGAAAAGTAAGTAGAATTTTGATTGCTTGTATTGAAATGGAAGCTTGTAATTATAGAAAATGTGAATAAACAGTAGGAAAAATAAAGACAATGCTTTGAAAATTAAATTTCTTGGCTCATTAGAGAGTTTGATTTGATTTTTTGAATTCGTCAGAGAATTTTCGTTGGTTTGTTGCATAGTTCCCTTGCTCTATTTATAAGCTCTACAGGCAGTTACCAAAAGGATCTTCTGACATACGTTTCCGTCATTAGCTCCTTAGGTCCCCGCCTTCTCTACGTGCAACAACCACTTGAGGAGTGCTTCCATTTTTCCCAATTGCAGCTCACCATTTTCTATTATCCCTTTCTTTTTTATTAATTAATTAATAGAAATTAATTAATTAATTAAAAATAATATCAATTGGATCTCAATTAATTAAACATCCAAACCTAAACTCAAAATACAAAGCCCAAATTTAAAAGCTCACAAAATAGGTTCAATAGGAAGAATATTAATTTATGCTGCTTTGTGATTTATGTTAATACTTGAGTCATCCTATCTAAAATGTCAAATAATTTTGTTGGTATTAAATAAAAAATTACAAATCTTTTTAAAAATTTAGATGGTTTAAAAATTTTTATGAGAAACATTATTAATTGAATTGTAGTAAGTATGCAAGAAATCAATATGCTTTTGTTAAATACTTAACCTTGATATTAATAAATAAATTACATGCGAAAAAATATTTTCTGAAGGACAATGTTAATTGAAATTTTCATCTTCCATTTATTTCTATGGCCATAAGTTAACCTTCTAAATCAATATTCAAATGTCCTTTTTTTTTATCATTTTACATTTAGCATATAATCGAACAACTATTTACCGAACTCTTTCACTTTCAATAGTTATATGAATAGCTAATAACTAACAGCTAATATCCGACAACTAACGACTACTAAGGCTGTGGTTGAAAACAATGTTTAGGATAACTTTTAGTATTTTGAATTAGTTAAAACACTATTTCTCTACATTATTGTATTTAGTAACCCGATATATGAAGTAGCTTTTAGAGAATGAATGAGCATTTTATAAAACATTATCCCACTTAACTTTTAGCATTTTATATTTTTTTTTATTGTTTTTTTTACAAACCTTATCCTTTACTAATTTAAACTCCTCGTTTATCACTTTATGTCTTTTTATTATTTTTTTTATGCTTTAAAATCCTTCTTTATTTATTATTTTTTTTATGCTTTAAAATCCTTCTTTATCACATAATGTCTTATTATTATTTTTTTATGTTGGGCTTGTTTATAATTGATAGTAAAATAAAAAAAAAATTCATTTATATATTTGCAATTTTATTTATAAAATAGAACTTTTCAATTTTTGCTCCCTTAAATTTTGAAAATTTAATTTAGTGAAATCATCTTTTTTTTTATATATATAATGAGTTTAATTCTATGCCTATAAGTGAAAATTCTAAGTGAAAATTCCAATGTTATTTTTTGTTATTTTAAATTTAATTGCCAATCAAATAACTGTTTTTACCGAACATTTTCGCTTTCAACCATTACTTAAATAGCTAAAATCTTTTTTTTAGAAGAAATTAAACTAGAAATTTCATTAAGTGAAAACTGTATACAGATATGTGATATATATCAATATGTTTTTATATCTTTATATAGAAAATCTAACAATAAACCGCTTATACAAATAATACAATAAATACAATCTTGATTTGAAATATTTGATCGAGTTGACAGAACATAATTTTATGCCATACACAATCGCTTGCCTTACTTGGTGGCTCTTCATGGCCACTGGTCGACTCCATGGTCTTTCTACAAGTCCGATCTGATTACTTTCAAATTTCTTCCTTTTATTGGAGATGAGATCTACACTTCTTTCTGCATAACTATCCAAATACATAACTATCCAAATAATAAAAGATACTAGACAAAATCACTATAACAGTGATGATAACAACTCAGAATTAGATCTGAGAACAAAATCTCAATATATGGGCAACAATAAATTTCAATATTTGGCGACAATAACTCAAATTTATATACAGATCTAATGATTAATTATTTGCAATAAAAAAAAGGGAAAGTGGTGACCATCGGAGAGAGCTCACCGGTGGCCACCTGTGGAGGAAGGAAAAAGAGTTTTTAGGTTTTGAGAGATAGAATTGGAACTAAATAACTAACATCTAACAACTACTAAAATAACAGCTAATAGCTATTAAAATAGCTAACAGTTGCTAGAGCAGCCAAATTTGTCAAACAGACCCTAAAACAATTAATAACTACTAAAACATCTAGTATTTTTGAACGTGCCATAATTATTTATGCTAAAGAAAAAATTCATGAGAAATTTGCAAAAAGTAATTTATATATTATACAAAATTATCTACACTTTTATAAATTGAATAATTTTATGATAAAAAATCATGAAAAATACCACTAAATGTAAATTTTATATTTTTTTGTAAGAAAAATTCATTGTTCTGAAAATTGGACTGAATTGGCCGGTTCAACCAGGAATCGGATTGTGGTCTGGTCCGAGTCACATTAGAAAATCAAGTGTCTGAAAAACCTTGCTAAAGAAAAAATTCATGAGAAATTTGCAAAAAAATAATTTGTATATTATACAAAATTATCTACACTTTTATAAATTGAATAATTTTATGATAAAAAATCATGAAAAATAACACTAAATGTAAATTTTATATTTTTTGTAAGAAAAATTCATTATTCTGAAAATCGGACCAAATTGGCCGGTTCAACCAGAAATCGGATTGTATTCTGCCAAGTCACATTAGAAAATCAAGTGTCTGAAAAATCGATATGAACTAGTAAAAATCGACTAAATACCGGTGAACCAAACTGGTTAAAAATCAGTTCGATTTAATTTTTGGGATTTTTCATAAAATGTAGGCTTTTTAAAATTTTAGCCTCTTGAAAATTGGACCCGCTGATTTTTAAATTTTTGGACTTCTTTATTTCTAAACCCAAAGTACTATTATGTTAATTAAAATAATTAAATTATCTAACTTTAACCACATATGAAAAATAATAATATATTTTATAGTAATTAATTAATTTTTTAGCATTAAATTTATTCATATATTGTTATTTTTGTTTAAAATTATTTATTCTTTTTGTAAATGTCAAATTTGAAACTATTTTTTTATTTGAAATCAAATTTTTTTAAACCTATATTTTCAATTTTATTTAATAAATATTTTAAAAATATTATATATGAAAATCCAGTTGAATCGTATTGAATTTATCGAACTTTTCGATTCAGTGAACCTTTACTTTCACCATTTCACTCACCGGTCCGGTTCTCAAAACACTAAAAAAATTTAATCTGAAAAAAATATAAATAGTCCAAACAAAACAAATTCAATGGGTTTAAGATCGATTTTTTTTTCTACTAATAAAAATTATAAAATTATTTACCCATATCTACATGTATTCAATAATAAATTTTATATTAATAAATCAATCTTGAGAAAAAGAAAAAGCAATTTTATATAAAGAAATTAATTTTATAAAAAATTAATAAAAACAAACATTAGTAAATCTGTAACACACCCGCAACTTAGTGCGGGCCAACGTCGCTTGTCTATTACTAAAACCGTGTGTACGGTTATACAGAAGAACGCTATTGTCTTTTTCATTTTTCCTTTCAACAAAAAATTGAGAGTTCCATCTCCTTCTTCCTCTGTAGTCTCCACTTCAATTGATACCAAGAATTGAAAAGAGCAATGCGAACTACAAATCTGTCTCAAATCTTGTGTTTCTAAACGAATCAGATCCAAATATTATTTCCATAGAGGAATAAGAAAAGGAAGATGTTGAGATTGAGAGCTTTTAAGCCGAGCAGTGATAAGATAGTAAAGATACAGTTACATCCAACTCATCCATGGCTTGTCACTGCCGATGCCTCCGATCGCGTCTCTGTTTGGAATTGGGAACACCGTCAGGTTTTTTTCAACTGTTTTTCTTTTTGCTTTTATTTGAAATTGCGAAGTGTTGATTTTATTTTGGAATTTGTAATTATGAGTTTTATTTTTTTGAAAGGTAATATATGAGCTAAAAGCTGGTGGCGTTGACGAGAGGCGTTTGGTTGGAGCTAAGTTGGAGAAGCTAGCTGAGGGCGAATTAGGTTCTGTTCTATTATTACTCTATTTGTTTGAATTTTGATTGATTTTGTGAAATGCTGAAATGTTCATTTTTTTTTTCTTGTTGCTTAATTTTGCAAATTTGCAGACTCTAAAGGGAAACCCACAGAAGCCATGAGAGGAGGCAGGTAATTTCTTTTTGTTTTTTCATTTCTAGATAAGTTTTTCTTTTTGTTGATAGGTTTTTCTTTTTCTTTTTTGGATACAAAGTGTTAAACAGGTGAACTTTTATGATGACGATGTACGGTTTTGGCAACTTTGGCGTAACCGTTCTGCAGCTAGTGAAGCTCCAGCTGCTGTCAATAATGTTACTGCAGCATTCACTTCTCCTGCACCATCAACTAAAGGGAGGCACTTTCTTGTAATTTGTTGTGAAAATAAAGCCATTTTCTTGGATTTGGTTACAATGCGTGGTCGTGATGTACTCAAGCAAGAGCTGGATAATAAGTCGCTCTTATGGCAAGTACTAATATGATAAGTCCCTTTTTCTTTTGTGAAACGCTCACATACTCACAAATTCATAGACACAATATCCTTTTAATTCTTATTTTACCAAATATTAGTTCAGGTCGGCATATGGTTGTCAGCGATGGGGTGGTGAATAACAATATGTCAACAAAAGTTTCTATGGAGAAAAATGAGAGTGCTGGAGATGGAAGAGTGAAAACACTAGAAATGATTAAATATGTATAAGCTAAGTGCATTTTTGGAAAGCTGAATTTTGTACCTATTGAAAATAAGTCGAGATAGGGATCATGAGATAGTTTGATCACGTTTAGTGTAAATTGAAAAATGTGCTAGTTAGAAAAATTTCTCGTCTAGGTTGTGAAACCGGAGGGGAAAAAAGTTAAACTTAGGTGATATGGGGAAGCAGGTTTATGGAAAAGGATTTAGCTTCAGTCAATGACCTTTATATAATGTGTAACTTTGAACTGAGTGGAATGGAGGGAAAAGGATCTGGATAATTGATTTTGACTAAACTGGGATCGAGGCTCAGTTGAACTGAGTTGAGAAAAATCTAGTTTGTTTTAGAGACGTGTATTGGTATAATTTGGAGAAGGAACAAATTTGTAGAGATGCTCTAGGGTTCCAAACACAAGAAAGTGACATGCTTGTCTCTTTCAAAACTTCTCTAGTTTGATGCTTGTTGTTTTCATATTTTTCTTTACCATTTTAATTTTCTATTTTTATGTTTTAATTATAAATTCGAACTGTATCCCTTAGTGCAATGACCCAAAGTTTTTTACCTTTTACTCCTACAAATTCTTTTCTGAGTTATCTTATGAGAGATCTTTTATGTATCAAAAGTGCTGCCAGAGTGATATTTAACAGTAGCCAACTGCCTAATATTCTGGTTCTACTATTGGACATATAGTCTTCCCTTCCTTTTTTCCCCATTTGGTTTCCCATAATAATTGCTTTCTCACTCATGAATACATTGTGTTGAGATGGAGTTGCTTTTTATCTGTACTCTTATAATGTATTATGTTATAATGTTATTTGGTGGTTTGGGTTTTTGTTTCTTGCAGTATGGAGTTTCTCTCCAGATCAACTGCTGGGGAAGGCCCTTTAGTTGCATTTGGTGGATCGGATGGCGTCATTAGAGTTCTTTCAATGATAACATGGAGGGTTTGTGTTTCATCAAGAAGTTGTTCTGTTGTCTTATTATCACTGTATAGGGTTACGAATGTTGATTGGTTATACTTATTTCTTGCAGCTTGTACATAGATATAGTGGAGGTCATAAAGGATCTATATCTTGTTTGATGACTTTCATGGCATCCTCTGGAGAGGTAGTCTTCAGATATCATTATTCTTCTGATGCCTAGTGATTTCCTTTCGGTTAGCATTTGGCCCCTTACATTATACTCAATAATCTTGTTTAATGTTTGTGCAACCTATTTGATGGGATGCTTTACTGTATAAATAAGAAATAACATAACTGAGTAGATGAGAATAAAAATGCCAATAAGAGTGCACAAAATTACACTTATGGTAGTAGACCTTGTTTTCATTCTTGATTTCATCTTTTCCTCTTTTCTTAGATCATTTGGGCCTCTAATATTCTTTGTAGGTTATGCAAAAGTTTGCGGAACTGGATAGAAAATTAAGGCAATATTTAGAGCAGAGCGATTGATGTATATCAATAAATTTCGTATGTTCTTGAGACTTAAATGTTTCACTTGGAGGATTTAGAGAGAATTGCCCTTGTACTGCCTTAAGAATGGCTCTTTTACAGCCACAATCTTACATTTATCAACAAGGATAATTCCAGTTTGTGATATTAATTTTTGCTTCTGTAGACGGAGGAAAATGAATGGGATCAGGTCAGTAGTACAGCACTGAAAGAGGATTTCTCAAGATTGTAAGGTGGCTGCAGATGGTAAGATGATAATAAATGTCTAGGTTTCGGTTTCTGAAGGGGGCATGGCTTTAGCGACCACAAGGAGGATATGGCTATGGATGGAATCTAGCAAGGTGATCGATATTTTGAGAAGTCATTTAGTTGCTGATATGCTGTCTTGTGAAGTTGGTGGTACCATTAGCAAGTTTCAAGATTTTTTGGTGGACTCTGCACTTTGCCTTGCTGTGGACATGTTACTACCTAGGTATGAGGATGACTAATGCAATGGACACAGCAAGTAAGACTCAGATAAGATAGAGAAAAGTTTGTTTGCTTGTGATAATAAGATGTCTGTTTTTGTGTAAGAGTGTTCTTATGAGTTATGAGAAGTGAGATTGTTTATGTCTGAGAGAGGGAGAAAAGCAAGAGGATAAAAGATTTATTGAGATTTAAGATGGAAAGGAGATATCATCATGGCACTACAGTCCACTCATTTAGGGAGAAAGAAAGAGAGACATAGAGGAGTCAGTGTCTTTCAGCTAGTTTCATAGGCAATCTTTTTGGAATTCTAAGTTTGAGAAATTTTTAAATGACAATGTCTCTTCTGGTAATGTGTTCCTTAGATTTTGGATAAAATATATTTGTCCTTTAGATTGATCAATCATAGGAAACCAAGAAAAAGAATTATCGAGTTATAATTCATACATATATGTGTTTTTCTCTGTGTGTGTTTACATATAGTATAACCTTTTTTTTACAGTTTGATATCATATCCAAACAATAAATTATGAATTTGAAGCATAAAAAGATAAGACACCTTATAAGGAGTGTTAGATTAAACGTAGTGCAAAATCTGAATTAATATTTGAAGTTTTCATATTATACAAATCAAACTAACAATGAGATCAAAATAAAATGTTGGGTGAGAAACTAGAGGTCAAGACTTGAGGGACATTAGTGTGAAAATTAGTACAGTATTTCCTATGTATTTTTTTTTTTTCATACACTCATGTATGAATCCTTATTTTACTATAATGACAAAGTTAAGGGCATCTTTGGAATTTGAAAATTTTAATCATGATTATCATTTTGAACTGAATTATCTTAGTCATACACATTTTCTGTAGGGGCATGTAATTGTCAAAAAGATTTGTCTTAATTTATGCCTAAATCATAGGGACCTAAAAGCAATTTGCCCTTAATATTTTGTGAAACTTACTTTATCTGTAAATCATTAACAATGGAAGGATCCCCATGATTAATTCCAACTTCAGATTTGAGTATAAGTGTCCTAATATTTGTATTTTGGGTCAATTGGACGTTTGGATTACATCTGTTGTGCACGTCTGCACTTAAAATATGTAGCATGGAGGTTGAGGATTTGGATGCTAATTGGTTGACATTACTGGCATGGTGGTGAGAGAAATTAAAATGGAGGAGGAATGGACAGAGTGATCCCAAGGGATCACAAAAAGAAATCCTTAGATATCAGATTATGTTAGTTAATCCATAGGCATAGGATTACTGCTGCAATTTCTCTAATATTTGTTCAGTAAAGTTGAATGCATTGAAGTTATTCAAGCTATTCACAGACTCTGGCACTCCTAGTTGTTGAAAATTTCCACAAACATTATCATGTGAACTGTTATTTCATCTTTTCTTTTTTCTTTCTGGCATGCACAATATCATTTTCTAATATCATGCTTCATGAGAAGTTTGGCCCTCAAGAGTGAATTGTTGATGCCTATTGTATCTAATTTGTTTTCCATTCTTTCTGTGATTGTAGTACCGTGTTGCTCTTTTTTTTTTTGGCTTCATAATTCTATTTATTTTAGGGAGCGTGCACCATCTTAGGGTGTCTGCTTGCTTGTTCATACAGTTGTGCTTGTGTATCATTTTATGCCTAACTAACTCCTTTGTCCACCTTTTTTATGCTTAAATTTGTTTTCAGGCACTTCTTGTCTCGGGTGGTAGTGATGGTTTACTTGTTCTTTGGAGTGCAGACCATGGTCAAGATTCACGAGAACTTGTACCTAAGCTAAGTTTAAAGGTGGGTTTCTTTGCTTTTTCTCATACTTCTTTAATGTATAATAGTTAATGAAGAATGGTTATACATACATATTTATCTCGAAGCTTGTGAACACATTCACACTGCACTGATCACAAGAGATGAGATTTTCAAGATAACAGCTTTTCTGAAAAATGAAATGCATTTCCTGTTTAACTACCCATTTTGTGCAATGAAGTAAAAGGAGAGACTTTAAAATGGGCTTTTTTAACTCTCTCAGCATTTTAAAGGTGAGTTGGTATAGGTTTTAACCGCAAAATTCTCTGCCAAGTGCGCATGTCCAATATGCATTTGCATATCTGATTTTAAAATTGAGTTGTATTTTTGATATTTGTATTTACCATACTTATAGGCACATGATGGTGGGGTCGTGGCTGTGGAGCTTTCCAGAGTGATTGGAGGTGCTCCACAACTTATTACCATTGGTGCAGATAAAACATTAGCTATATGGGATACAATTTCTTTCAAGGTGTTGAGCTTTGTGAACAAAATACTTGGTTCATGTTTAAGACTGACAATTTTGTTCCCTCTTCTTGTGTCCTGCTATTTCACCTTTCTAATTTTGTTTTTGCATGTGTTTGATGAGCACAGGAGTTGCGGCGAATTAAGCCTGTTCCAAAACTGGCTTGCCACAGTGTGGCATCTTGGTGCCATCCTCGAGCTCCAAACCTCGATATATTGACTTGTGTTAAGGATTCACATATATGGTGTACTTTTGTCTCTTACTAGTCAATTTCTACATTTCTTTATAAGTATGGCCTCCAGGTATAATGATAACAGGATTTATATGGTGGATGTTGAATGGTAAATTTGTTAAACATTTTGCAGGGCTATTGAACACCCTACATATTCAGCCCTTACGAGGCCATTGTGTGAGCTTTCTTCACTCATCCCTCCTCAAATTCTTGCACCAAACAAGAAACTTAGGGTATGTATTGCTTTGTTTTTGTTTGATTTCAGTTTTACTATTATAACAAGCCTCCCAGTCATTTTGATTAGCGGTCGGACTTGGAGAGATAAGAGGGGCATTGACAAGTTGTCCTAGAAGTAGCTTTATTTTGGATTTAGCTCTCTTTATTTTATTTTCTTTATTCACTTCCCCTGCCATTTCTGAAGGGATTTTTTTTTCTTGACGTATTATAATTCAGCACACATCAACAATGTCTTAATCAACTTTTTGTGTAAAAAGTTTTATTATTGTTTATGACTGATGCTGTCGCTTGTCTGATGGTAAACCTGTATATCCACATATCTGGAGGTGTTGGTTCATGCTAGCCTATAGGTTGATATATGCTCTTGCCTCCAAATATAATGTTTTTCAACATATTGTACTTATTAAACCAGTTACAGTCCAAAGTAAGTTTTAATCTCTTACAAATCAATATCTACCGAGGCTTGCCACAGGCAAAATTATTGGACTTTTGCATGTCTATTTGTGATGATGGCTAACAATGTCTTTGATATGCTATGATTTGGCTTCTAACATTTTGCATGTCAATCATGCTCCTTTAATTGTTACCAGTAATCTTCCCTCTTGCTCTATTTATATAAAAACGATTGAACAAAAGGGAGAAATGGTTAACATTCACGTGTCACCGATGCAGGTTTATTGTATGGTTGCACATCCTTTACAGCCTCACCTTGTTGCTACTGGAACCAATATTGGTGTTATTGTTAGTGAGTTTGATGCCAGATCTCTTCCAGCTGTAGCTCCCCTACCAACACCACCAGGAAATAGGGAGCATTCTGCTGTCTACATAGTTGAAAGGGAGTTGAAGCTACTGAACTTTCAATTATCCAACACAGCAAACCCATCTCTTGGAAGCAATGGCTCCTTATCTGAAACAGGAAAGTACAGGGGAGAATCAGCTGAACCATTACATGTCAAGCAGATTAAGAAGCATATTAGTACACCTGTTCCACATGATTTGCATTCAGTTCTTTCTGTTAGCAGTTCAGGGAAGTAAGTTTGCTAACGTTTATTTGTTGTTTTTCCTTTTTGACATGGAAATACAGTTGTATGGCTCCTTATCTGAAACAGGAAAGTACAGGGGAGAATCAGCTGAACCATTACATGTCAAGCAGATTAAGAAGCATATTAGTACACCTGTTCCACATGATTTGCATTCAGTTCTTTCTGTTAGCAGTTCAGGGAAGTAAGTTTGCTAACGTTTATTTGTTGTTTTTCCTTTTTGACATGGAAATACAGTTGTATAAATTTGTTTTTACTTCTTTGTCATTATGAAATATGAAGCACATAAACCATCATTTTAACTCAAATAGCAACAGCTATGAAAGTGGACCTACTTGTTATTGAGATTCATAATCAAATTTTTGCTGTTGACGTTTTAGAGACAGATGAATTTGCATCTACCTCTATGTCTTTTCTCTTTGTTTGAGACTATAAAGTGCATAATTTCTGTTTTTATTGGAGATGATTAGCATCTGTGAAAGTGGATCTACTTAGACTGTCTTTCTGCAAGTCATGATTTCTCATGTTGAGATTTTGATCCAGGTTATACTTGTATTATTTTTATTCTTTCAATATTTGTTTAGGGTTTCATTTTTTGGAGTTGGATATCATTTTAACAGTTGAAGTTCTTTCTATTGGATATCATTTTGGCAATGGAATTTCTGTTTAACCACTTAGTTTGATTGCAGATACCTTGCAATTGTGTCTTTCATGTGTGGCCTGATATTCCCGTACTATCTCCATATACAAAGGTTAAGCGATTGTCTATTGTAAAAAGAATTCAGGCAGTTGCAAGGCTTTTGGCTTGGGATACATGTCGTGATAGATACTGCTATACTGGAATCTGAATTAAGCAACCTAGAACATTCCTGTGATTCCCCAAGGGGGTTTTTTCCATCAAGGAGAGCAAGAGAAGCAGCTGCAGCTGCAGACAAAGCTGCAGCAGCTGCTGCAAGTGCTGCTTCTGCCTGCCAGTGTGCAAGTGCGTATCTTGCTTTGATGATGTACGATGATGGTACATCAAATATCCTGATGAGGTCCATAGGAAGTCGTTCTGAACCGGTACTTGATGTTTCTCTCAGCATATGGTGTTCTATTTCCATTGAATTTGAGTTTATTCTTTGTGAAATTGGTTCCTGGAATTATGTGCATTAGAATTTCAAGCTCCTTTGTCTTATACTGACAGTTTGTTTCTCTGTTGTTATTTGCTGATCTACATCACATAAAGAGCTTTCCCTATTATTTTCTGTAATTATAAAAATTGTGTAAATGGAATTAAGTCATTCTAGGGATCATAATAATATTTCTTTTCCTCTTAAATTGGTTCTATCTTTTTTGTCGGTTTACTGAACAAATCATCAGTGAACTCATTGCAAGATGAGGATCATAATGTTTCCTTTCCTTTTTCTGAAAATATCATTCATTTAAAGTTTTAAGAATGAACATTGCTTTAAAGCCACAGTTCTATGACTCTTATATAGTTGTATAGATTTCACTCTGATTATTACATTATACTGGAAAGTTTTAAAATTCTTCACTGTTAAACAGTGGGAACTTCTTTTGTACTTAATATCGTAGATATCGTGGCTTTCAACATGCTCCTTTGTAATTTGAGGCAAATATTTTGTTCATTATTGTTCTTGCATAAATTAATTTTCCTCTGACCGTATATAATCTTTTCTAGATAATTGGCTTGCACGGAGGGGCACTACTAGGTGTGGCCTATAGAACTTCCCGGAGAATTAGCCCTGTTACAGCAACAGCTATTTCTACTATTCAGTCTATGCCTTTGTCAGGATTTGGAAGCAGTGGTGTGTCTTCATTTAGTACTTTTGAAGATGGAATTTAGTATTTTGAAGATGATTTCTCCTCAGAAGATCTCCTGCGCCTGAGGCAGCCCCTCAAAACTTTCAGTTGTTATAGGTTGAGAGTCTGGTTATTTTTTATCCCTCAAAACTTTCAGTTGTATAGGTGAGAGTCATGGTTATTTTTATTTAGCTTTTCAATTATTAGTAAATCTTTGGTTACTGGGACATAAATATTAGTCAATATTTTGATGGTGTTTGCCTAGAAATTGTCCTGGATGTCCTGAACTTTTTCATCATCATACCATTTTGATGGACATTAATATAGCCCCCAAGTATAACATAAATATCTGTCTCAGCAATTTTTGCCACTTTATTTTTGAAAAATATAACGTGAAAAGACCAAGATTATTGTTTCCAATGGTTGCATTGGTAACAGAAATTGAAAATTTTGATTTTGGATGATTTCTTTTTTAAAGCATATTAGCTATTTTTCTTAGAGCTACTGGATGCTTGCATTTGTTAATGTTGTCTGTGAACTGCAGTAAAACTTCAGTTGTAACAGTACTCATCTTTTTTTTAACTTTTGATTTTAATATCAATACGATATAAATAGGGAAAAAGAAGATACCATGACATGCTTGAGACAAGGAAATTTTCCTTGCACTATTAAACAAGAGTCAGAAGAAAATCCATTTCTGTAATGTGTCTTTGATCTGATGACTGCTGCAGTTTACTTGGTAATGTCACACAGATTCTTGTCAGTTGTCACAAATTGAGTGAAGGGTGGGAAAAGAGACAGAAAAGAGAAAGAGGGGGGGGGGGGGGGGGGGGGGGGGAGGAGAAGAAAGAGGTACCAAAAGTTAATTTAAGTTTCCTTAAAAAAGTATTAGGACATCTTCTGCATTTTGCTTTTGTCATTTCTAACTCTGCCTTCCATCTAAACCAGACAAATTTGCTTCTTGTTAACCCACTCCTAACATTCTCACTTGGCCAACTGATAACGGGCTAAACAATATTACCTTTCCAAGTGACTACCATTTAAATTATCCACACAATGCTTCATTGCAAATGTGTTGGTCTCTCGGGCTTCTAACCTACATCAAATTGTTGGTCTCTCGGGCTTCTAACCTACATCAAATTAATTGTGTTGCACACAGAAACTGCCTGCTGCTACATGGTTGAACTTTTGTTTTTGGTTTCTACCTGATAAGAACCAAGGCGTTTTGATCCTTTTTAATCCTTGATTAATTTCATAATTTGCAGTTGGGAAAGTTTTGAACCCGTGGGTGGTCTACTTCCTCAGCCAGAATGGACTGCATGGGATCAAACAGTTGAGTATTGTGCTTTTGCCTATCAGCAGTATATTGTAATATCTTCTTTGCGCCCTCAATATCGGTACCTGGGAGATGTTGCAATTCCCTATGCTACTGGAGCTGTTTGGCATCGCAGACAGCTTTTTGTGGCTACACCAACTACCATTGAGTACGATCTTAATAATTTTTTAATGATTTATTTCTGTTGAGTCGTAGTTCTGGTTTATTTAGTTCATTTTTTTGCACCAAATTTGGTTGTATTTCTGATACTATAGGAATTTACATGTGAATTAATAGCTCTTTGATGAAGTGATTTGAACCTCAACCTTAGCTCATTTTAGTTTGACTTTGTCTGGGGCTTGAAATAGGATATTTCTGTTTCATTGTGTGGAACTTTTTTAAATGTCAAGAGGGTAATATAATACGCCTGATGTCGTTATGCAACTTCATGTTGCATTTCAGCAATGAAGCTGGACGTGGCTGATTTCATGATTATATTATATATGCATGGGAATTTCTGTTTTAGAAAGTAGACAAGGGTTTGTTGGACAGATATCTAGTTGAAATGATTGAATATTTGAATTTGGTATCGTGTTGGTTTCTCATAATTTTCACTTCAAGTGCAAATCCAAAGATTGAGTTTCAAATGGACTATTTATTCAAGTGGACCCTAGGATTTCTTTGAAGTAAACCATAGTATAGATTGAGTGTCACATTTCTAATCAATTCTAAGAAGATTATGCTGATAGATGAGCTATTTTTTTTTTTTTTTTTTTTTCTATTTTTTTTTTTTTTTTTTTATTACTAATGCATTTTTTTTTTTTTTTTTTTTTTATTACTAATGCATATTAAAAAAATATAAGATTTCTACTGCAAAAATGTTTCAGTTAGTCATTTAGAATGAGGAAAGTAAAACGGGAAGATGATGGAGAAGAAAGAGAAATCTATAACAAATATCTAAGTTTCATAATTTTTTCAGATGTGTGTTTGTGGATGCTGGAGTTGCAGCAATGGACATAGAAACGAGAAAGATGAAAGAAGAGATGAAAATGAAGGAGGTACAGGCAAGGGCAGTTGCTGAACATGGAGAGTTAGCCCTAATCACTGTAGAAAATCCCCAAACTGCTGCACAAGAAAGAATAAAATTAAGGCCACCTATGCTACAGGTTAGTATTTCATAATTACTTTGTGGTTGTTGATACTGAGACATTGTTTTGGGTTTATGGGGAAGAGGACTGGCAAAAAAGGTACTGTGCTCCCTAGCTATTCGCACAGTGAGGCAGGCCCTTGACTTCCAGGAGTTGCACCTTCAATGATCTGCTTGACTCGCTACCTTCTTCTGTTCTGCATTTTACTTTTTTTTTGCTAGAAGGATTTTTGTCCTAGATTAGGCTGGCTTGATGTTCTTTTATGAAATATGATGATTCTTGCCAAAGCAGAATACCTAATGCATGGTTGACAATTTATTGAAGGAGAGGATAACATATTACACTCGTAAGTTTTGAGCTTCTCTAAAATTTTCCAAACTAATGTTCTGTGACTAAATGAAATATTAATTGCATAATACAAGCTTGTCCAATAAATACGTTTTATACAAATTAAACTACAATAATACATAAATGAAATGGACATTTCCATAATATTATTATATCATTTAATATAAACTGAAATAGACTGAAGCATTCTAACCATACCAAATTGTCTAATTTAGTTTAGTCTGGTTCAATTTTATGATTTGAACTAAAATACATAGGGAAATTATATGTGGAATGATTCGGTCCATAATACGATAGTATTTTACTATTATCGTTCTGACTAAAGGAGAAAGCGGGGCCCATGTATTTTATTGTGGAAGATGTGTACAGTTGGGTAGAATGTTGAACATATTAAAACCGTAGAAGGGCAAAAAGGTAATTGGATCTATGGGCAATGAAAAACGATGGTTCTGTAAAGCTTAAAGGGCTGAATAGCTTTGTAATTGCCCATAGACAAAGAAAAAGGCGAGGGCCTAGAAATTGGAAGGATAGGAGTACAATGGTGGAAAATTTACTGCAGATTCTCCTGCTTCATCCACCCATTTTTTTCAACAGTTCCTTCATCTAATCATCAACCCATTCATTCGATTTGCTTCATCTACCCCTCTCATTGCCTTTCTTAATTCTCGATTACTGCATTGGTCATGGCAGAACACTGTATACTCATTTATCAAACTATTTTCTTCTTCTTCGGGTTTCGGACAGAAACCTATTCTTTGCCATCGTTCACTGGTTGATAAATTTCAATTTCAACTTCCCCAATAACTTTTACCTTACCTCATGAGTTGTCTCCTTTAACCCTTGTCCTTAAAACACTGTACCATATACTATCCCTGTCCCAATTCATATCTACAGTATTCACAGTGAGTCAAATATGGCCCACCATTATTCATTTTAAATTGCCGTTGCATGGAACGATTCGTTCCATGTATCACCGCCTAGTGAATTTAAGAAATTTCACCTTTTTTTTAAGTTTTCAATAATTGCTCTTTTGGTAAACATGGAAACCAAATTAGAAAATGTTTAAAAATCTGTCAATTTTGTCCCTGTATTAACACCTCACCAATTAGAAATGTCTTTTATTTATTTAATTTTACAATTCTTTTGGATTGAACGGTCAAGAATTTGTTCATCTTTTAACCATAATGATTGTGATTGGAAGCATTATCACCTTCGACCTTTCAATGGACCAATTTACTTTCTTTTCAGGTGGTTCGTTTAGCTTCTTTTCAGAATGTTCCTTCCATACCACCTTTCTTAACATTGGCGAAGCAGACAAAAGTTGATGACAGTGATTGGGCATCACCAAAGGAGATAGAAGAGAAGCGGGTTAATGAGATAGCAGTTGGTGGAGGAGGTGTGTCCGTGGCAGTTACTCGTTTCCCAACAGAGCAGAAAAGACCTGTAGGACCTCTAGTAGTGGTGGGTGTAAGAGATGGAGTTCTTTGGCTGATTGATAGGTATCATCTTTGCCTCCAGAATTCAATGTCCATTGTCTAGTTAAATAGACCATTTTATATTTCCTATTAAAATAGGAGCCATTAAATGTTATTTCCACTTAAAATTTTTATTTCACCTAATCTTTAAAGCTTCTCTTGTGCTGTAGCATGGAGTCCCTATCTAATCGGATGCTTATGACTTTAAATAATGCATTCACTGTGTGATATATTTCTTGAAACACAAAATACATGAATACATGGAGTCCCTATCTAATCGGATGCTTATGACTTTAAATAATGCATTCACTGTGTGATATATTTCTTGAAACACAAAATACATGAATATCAAACTCATGAAAATATCATTCCAGGTGGATTTTTAAAATCGCTTCTCCAATGGCACTATTGCCTTGATGCAATGGCTTTTACAGTTGTTATTGACTATTAAAGCTGCTAGCCAGGGCTTGTTTCCCCAAACCTCCTTTTTCCTTTTTCAGCTATTTTCTTTTCTGGATTTACTAAAAACTGCTACTCTCTGGCTCCATAACTTTATATGTAATCTTGATGGTTTAACTAAATTCTAAACATGAAAGGCATGTTATATTAGTTCACAGTAATTTAGTACCAGGAGTTAATGGAACTTTATTTTGATAAAGCATTAGTGTACTCTCATTTTGGTTTTCATGCTTTTATGTGCTTGATACAATTTGTAAGTGCTAGGTCAAAAATAAATTTCCTATCAATGATGTGAAAAACACTTGCATAATGTTTAGTAGTGCCATTTATGTGGCATTACACAGCCAGAAACATGGCAAAAACTGCATATGTGATGTAAATACATGTAGCTGCCTTAACATGTTTACCTCCCTATCATTGTATCTGCTGTCAGTTATCACTTTCTCTGCCTACTTGTAGCAACCTGTAGTTACTAAAACTTTCCTTATTGTACAGCAACATGATACATGTCTTCTTCCTGATTAGTACATGTCACTGGTTCTCATCTTTTGTGCTTATGTTTCAATTTTCAGCTACCCTTATACTATAATTCTCTCATGTTAATAATAACTTCCGTCTGTATGGGAGCATAGCTGGCACAGATAATTCCTAACAAATTCACTCCTAACCCTCCTTTTTCACATTAAGTTCCTTCCGGAAGCATATTTCAGTTGCTTCATTAGAGACTTATCATGTGGGTCTTACTTATAGATAACAATCTCATTAATTCCTGAAAAAAGCATATTTCTTTCCTTTATCATTTTCCTGCAAAGATTATTAATTTCAGTTTGGTCATAGTGCCTGAATTTTAATTCTTTTCCCTCCCGAAGTTTGCACCTCCATTTCTGTCAAGTTTGTTGTAGTATTTATAAGGTAAGGTAATATTCATATTTACCAATCAGCAGTATAATCAGAGGAAATAGTATTTATAAGGTAAAGTGATATTCTTTTGTTGGGCTGGTTTCTAGAATTGTTCTTTCTAGTTAAGATATGGAAGTGTTGTTAGCAGGTTCAACAAGGCAAGTAGCAACTTTAATCAGTTTTATTTTGATGAGATTTTATTTCTATATACTGCTAAGGCTCTAGAACAGGGCAAAATGTAGCTTGTTCTTTATGTTTTGGAAACGGAGAGTTCCTTTCCTTGTTTTCCTTTTAATTTTTTGATCCAAACTTGTCATTCCGTTCCTTTCCTTGTTTTCCTTTTAATTTTTTGATCCAAACTTGTCATTCCTTAATATATGATGCAAGAAAAAGAGAGATGATACTTAGATTCTCTTTGGTAGGTATATGTGTGCACATGCCATATCCCTAAGTCACCCTGGTATTCGCTGCCGGTGTCTTGCTGCTTATGGAGATGCTGTTACTGCAGTGAAATGGTACTTCTCAATCCTTTTACAGATTACTTCCATGGAAAATGGAATAACTTTTTCTTATATAACTTCAACTTTTCTCTAATTTATTCCATCATATTCAGGGCAAGTAGGCTTGGTAGAGAACATCATGATGATTTGGCGCAATTTATGTTGGGGATGGGCTATGCTACGGAAGCACTTCATTTGCCAGGGATATCCAAGAGGTATTTGTAGAAGTATGTGGGGTTAATTCCACATTGAAAATATATAAGATGAGTAAATGACACATAATGAGGAAGATGAACCAACAAAAATGGCTTAGGCGTAAATGATAAGCCCAAATTATTAAATAAAATTGTTAATTGAATTTGATTAATTGCTCCTAAGGCCCAGATTTAACATGGTACTAGAGCTTGGGACCGAACCCGTATTGCATGAGGGAAGTTCTTGAGTGGGCTGTACCTTGATGGACCCATGTTGGGCCGTTGTATGCTTGTCAAGTGGCCCCATTGCCACTTGAGGGGGGGAGTAAACAGTGTGTGTTATTTCCAGATTGAAAATAATATAAGAAGAATAGATGGCATATGATTAGAAAGGTGAACCAACCAAACCAGCTAAAATGGTTTAGACCATTTCGTGTTAAAGGTCGGTCCAACTCATTATAAGCCCAAATTATTAGATGAATTGTTGATAAATTTGATTAGTTACTCCTAAGGCTCATATTTAACATGGTATCAAAGCCTTGGGTCCAAACCCATATTGCATGAGAAAAGTTCCCAAGTGGGTCATGCCTTGATGGACCATCGTGTGCTTGTCAAGTGGCCTAATTGCCACTTGAGGGGGGAGTATAGAAGTATGTGGGGTTAATCCCGCATTGGAAATATATAAGACGAGTAAATGATATATAATGAGGAAGGTGAACCAACCAAAATAGTTTAAACCAATTTGTATAAGGAAATGCCCAAATTATTAAATGAATTTGATTAACTGCTTCTAGGACCCAGATTTAACAGTATTCTGCACATAGTTTTGTTATTTCATTGGCTTAGCTCTCAGATTCAGAATGCCTTTATTTCTTCTTGATACATTAAATAATTTGTGCTATTCTGTCCGAAACACATTTGTTTTCATGTACAAATGTTTGCATGTATTATATACAATGAATAAGCATGCTTGCAATTTGGCAGAAATAGTTATTTTGTTGCCTTATACATAAGGCGTCTTTCCATGTGTCTGACGCTTATAATCTCATTATCACAAATGGGATCTTACTCCTTATGGTGATTAATAAAGCTTTAGTAATCCCAAGCTTGATGTGCCAGAATTTCGAGTGAATAAAGAGCATTTTAATGTTGAATTCTAATGCGTGTCTCTCGTCTCTCTCTCTCTCTCTCTCTCTCTCTCTCTATTTTTTTAGGTTGGAGTTTGATCTAGCCATGCAGAGCAATGATTTGAAAAGAGCACTTCAGTGCCTTCTTACGATGAGCAATAGCAGGGACATAGGGCAAGATGGTACGATGAGCCAATAGCCAGGTTTTTTTAGGTTGGAGTTTGATCTAGCCATGCAGAGCAATGATTTGAAAAGAGCACTTCAGTGCCTTCTTACGATGAGCAATAGCAGGGACATAGGGCAAGATGGTACTGGACTTGGTTTGAGTGACATTCTCAACATAACAGCAAAGAAGGAAAATATTGTTGAAGCAGTTGAAGGAATAGTGAAGTTTGCAAAAGAGTTTTTGGACCTTATTGATGCTGCAGATGCTACTGCACAGGTTGACATTGCTCGTGAAGCTCTGAAGAGATTAGCTGTTGCAGGTTCCATGAAAGGAGCTTTACAGGGTCATGAATTAAGAGGACTTGCTTTACGCCTTGCAAATCACGGGGAGTTGACAAGGCTGAGTGTATGTAGCCACAGTGCATCATACTTCTTGCATATTGGCCTCATGAATTGTTCGATATATACTAGGAACTTCAAACAACTTCTGTGTTTTGTTTAGCCCTTTGTGCATCCATTTAAAAAATCTCATGATATATTCATTTGTTAATATATAGATGGTAAAAGAATTTTAATCATTCTGCATCAGTTACATGATAATCCTTGAGTTGTTTGACACACCTTAGGAAAATTTTGAGAATAATTCAGCCATTTCAGCTGTGCATAGTTTACTCTGACTCTTCACTTTATCCTAAAAAGCCAGTGTCAAACTGATGTTTATATTCTTTTTTTTGTTTAATTTCCATGATACCTTAATCCCACTTTGTACTCGTTGTCAACTTTCAATCACATATTTTGGGAGTTTAATGATACAGTTACATATTTTCTATAGCATCTAATAAAGCTGAATTAGTAATAGGAAGGCGCGATTTATAATAGCTGTGACAACAAAGCACTGGATCTGGAAGATAGGGAACTCAGGAGAGGATAAATGAGAAGTACATTGTTGTGTGAGGAGAAACATACAGCATCATTGCCATGGTCGATGATGTCTTGTACATTTATATATCAAGTCTTTGGGCTTGTAAAAAGTGAATTTGTGCTCGTGGAAGTTACTGGATACTCGAATGAAAAAGAAGACCAGCAATTTTGTAGACAATGCAAAGTTGAATTTTGTTGATTTTGAGATGTGAATGTCAAATGGTTTTTTCCACCTGGCATGTCTTATACTTGCTAATTTCATTATCAGTGTTCCTTGTAATGTTTTTATATTCGCCTGCCTATTTTTTGAAGCAATATTTTGTATGGCTGCAGGGTTTGGTAAATAATTTGATTTCAATTGGCTTGGGACGTGAAGCAGCGTTTTCAGCTGCTGTTCTGGGAGACAATGCTCTCATGGAAAAGGCCTGGCAGGATACTGGGATGCTGGCTGAGGCTGTACTTCACGCCCATGTATGCTTTTTGTTTTTATACAGATAGGTCCTTTAAACCCTTAATTACTATTTTCTATTCTAACTGGCTCATTACATATATTCCAGGCTCACGGGCGGCCAACACTTAAGACCTTGGTTCAGACTTGGAACAAAATGCTACAGAAAGAGGTTGAACATGGTCCCTCAACCAAGATAGATGCAGCAGCTGCATTTCTGGCTTCTCTGGAGGAACCCAAGCTTACCAGTTTGGCAGATGCAGGGAAAAAACCACCAATTGAAATTCTTCCTCCAGGAATGCCATCTCTTTCTGCTTTTATTACTGGCCACAAAAAACCTGGTCCTGGTACACTGGGTTCACAGCAGCAACCTAGTAAACCATTACAAATAGAAGCAGCCCCAGTAGCTAATTCTGCACCCATACCTACATCTACTCCTAACACTACTGCTGTAACAACACCACAAAATGCATCTCCTAGTTCTACCCCGGGAGCAGAAAGTGCTCAACTGCAATCTGAAGCAAGTGAACCTCCTGGTTCTATTGATGATAAAGCTCCTGTCCCATCCTCAGGAAGCAACCCAGATCTTGTTGCATCAGGAGAAAGTATCCCACCAATGTCCACGAGCGATACAATATCGACCCCAACTGAAGTACCACCACCACAAATACCTGATAACCAGGGAGCAACTGTTCCTAGTTCTGTGCCCTTAAGTGATACTCTTGCTTGAATATCTAGTTTTATGGCCCATTGAAGAACAGGACATATTGGGAATTATTTATTGATTCTTTGATTTGCGGAGAATCACATGAAAAGGAATGCGAAGCTAGATATAAGTTTCACTGCAAGTTGACTCCATGTCAATATTTTATGGACGAGTAGATCACATATCCTTGTATGATTTCATCGAGAGTTGTTTCATTGCCTTGTTTGTTGTCCTTATTCATTTATTGACTTTGAGAGGCAGAATTTATCTATGTTCTGCCAGTATTCTGATTTGTATTATTTGCTTGTACCATATAGATTTTACAGTGCTGTTCATATTTTAGATGTTAGTTTAAATTTTGTAGTGGGTTCAGTTGGAGAGTTGTGGACTATTTCTAATGGAGATCATTTATTGATAATGCAGAGATGGATTTATTTTTATTTGTGGTTCTCGAGTCCTTTTAACTCTTGTAGGTGTGACCCTGGTATAGGGTTGAAAATTTGATTCGGTGAATAAACATTAAGTTAATTGTTTGGTTAAAAATAAACATTTAGTTAAATTGTTTGGTTAAAAATAAACATCTAGTTAATTGTTTGGTTAAAAATTGCTCGGTTAAAAGTTAATTAAATTAAATTAAATTAATTAAATTAATTGATTCATTCAGTTAAAAGTTAATTAATGAAATTAGTTGATTCTTAAAACTACATTATTTGGATTTAATAGATACTAAAAATTAAAGAATATCAATTAATTTTTCTCATTTTTTTTAACTTTTAATGATTGCGGTTTTTTTTATTTGGGCACGGTTTAATTCAACTAAAATAATTTGGGCTAAAATGATTCAGTTAAAAGATTAGTTAAGATAATTTAAAAATAATTTTGATTAATTTATTTCAATTAAAAAAATTATTCAAATTGGCCGAATACTCATTTACACTCTAATATGCTAAATTATAAATAAAAAAAAAGTTATAAAAACTACACCTGAAAAAAAAATTGTATAGAAAAAAAATAAATTATTTTTAACCTATAGTCATATTAACATATGAGTATGTCTATCTTCAAAAACTAATTATGAGATTTATAAATTATGATTCCAACATTTTATTTCTTCTATTCAGAACTATCTTTTTGATTTTCAATCGACTCATAACAGATGAAATGGATTTCGTATAAAAAAGGATTTTAAGGTAAAAAAAAAAAAATATATTGGTCCTTAAATTATAGGAAAATTACTTAGGAGGTTTTTAGTACATGATTATATTAATACTTTGGTCTCCCTGTTCTGGATGAAAGGATAAAAATATTATCAAAATTATAATTTAGGGACCTCATAATTAGTTTTTAAAAACAAAAGTCCTCATGTATGTGAGGTCTCGCTCGAACACCATTTCACTTAAAGAAATTACGATGCTCTTTTGGATTTGAACTACATGAAAAAAAAGCTTATTTAATCGGTTTTACTTTTTAGAAAAAAGTTTCACGTAAGGTTTAATTATAAAAAAAAACTCAAGGGAAAAAAAAAATTCTAATTTGACTCCAAAAGTATTTATCCATGGAAAAGTACACTAGAACTTGAAACCAAAAAGGATTTAGTAACTAAGTTTTTAGTATAAAGCAATAAGTTGTTTGACTTAAAATTAAAACGAAATTTAAATTCCTGAGCGTATATCTACATAAAAAAAAAAAAAAAAAAAAAAAAAAAAAAAAAAAAAAGGATTTAGTAACTAAGTTTTTTTAAGTAATAAAGCAAATAAGTTGTTTGACTTAAAATTAAACGAAATTTAAATTCCTGAGCGTAATATTCTACATAAAAAAAAAAAAAAAAAAAAAAAAAAAAAATAAACGCACATGAATTTTTTAAACAGCCTCTTAACAATTGTTAGAGAAGAAGGCACCAGCTAGGTAGCGCGCGACCCTCCTCTCCCCCTTTCCTCTCTTCCGTTTCCGGCCAACCACGCGAGGACAAGGCAAGGCGGCGATTCACGCCACCAATCGCGTCTCTCGCTTTCTTCGCGCCGAACGGCCTTGCAGTGGCGTAGCTCGAAGCTGCCTCCTTCGGCAACTCCCTCTCCTCCGGCCTTCCGGCGACTGCTATCAACAAGATGGTAATGGAATTGAAGCTTGGATTACATTAGATGATGAAAGAATGGCCTTATTGGAATGTGATTCTGAGTTTTTAGCTTTTGCTTCTCCAAATCCAAGGATTTCAAATCTCTGAGTTAGCAAACCATGTACTTCTTTTAGCAAACCATGTACTTCTTCTCTTCTCTCACTCGATTCTCTTTGAGCTCCGCCTCTACAAGCCGCCGCCACTATAGAAAAATGGCTCTTTCTCTGTGGCTGTGTTTGTGAGATCTGTTGAAGACAATGTTTAGCAACATGCTGCTTTGCTCCATGCGATCTAACAGTTCAAGGAAAAGAAGACATGGGAAGGTGAAGCTCAACCCGGAAGGTGAAGCCCATGCCGGGGTAGATGATACGGAAGCGAGTTTGACGCCGGAGAGGGCTTTGCTGAAACGACCGGGCCCTGCTGTGGGCCCAAACTGAGAATTTCCTTTGTGGTGGGCCCAAACTGAGAATTTCCTTTGTGTCCGTTAAAAAAAAAATAAAAAAAAAAAGAAAAAGAAAAAGAAAAAGACAAAGAAACAGAAAAAGAAAGGAAACAGGAATGATGGAGAGCAACAATGAGTGACCTCGAGCCATGTGTCCATCTGTCTTGCGCACTGTGTCTGTCCCATGAGCACTGTGTTTGTCCCTGTTTGACTCAATTCAAATAGATATACTGTTTAAAATATTCTTGCGCTATGCATGGTGAGATTCTTGCAATTGCATGAGCGCAGTATATAAACCAGTCATCTCTCTTCTACTGCACATGGTCTTGCAAACCTTTCAGTCATCTCCTGTTCAGCCATTCAGATTGACGAGCAAGTAAGCCGCAGCGATTACTCTCAAAAAAAAAAAAAAAGAAAACAAACAAAAAAAAAAAACAGCATGAAGTTTTCGTTGTCAGTACCTTCAAGGTACAGATTGTGAGCCTGGTACGTTTGCCGGGAACCGAGAAGGTCATGACGTTGCTATCTATGCTGGAACTGGCCGGAGGATGGGGGCAAAGCCTCGGGCAGCGAGCGCTCTAAAGGATCTTATTCGTGCTAATAAGCCCAATGGTTGGCTTTCTTATGGAGACGAAAGTAGCTCAACATATGTTTTACAAAGGCTATAGCTTGCAAGTGTGGTTTTTCCTCCTCTTTTTCTGTTGATTGTCTTGGTCGAAGGTTGGTTTAGGCAGTTTTTTGGTATAATAATTTGGAAATGTTGATTTTTATATTCCTACTCTTCAAATCATATTGATATGCAAATAACCTATGGAATGCATACATGGCGGATGACGTGTGTATATGGGTTCCCTGAACATCACAAGAAGGCAGACACATGGACTCTTCTTAAAACTCTAGCTAGTCAGTACAGTCTTCCTTGGCTTCTAATGGGTGATTTTAATAATCTACTTACTGACGATGAGAAAATAGGGGGTCACCCTTATGAGCTTCGTAACCTTGAGGGGTTTCGGGACGCGCTGGATGTGTGTCGGGTTTCCGATCTTGGTATGGTAGGGTATCCGTTTACCTGGCGGTGTGGCAGGGGGCGTAACAGAATTGAGGAAAGGTTGGACCGAATGGTGGCTTCAAATACATGGTCTTGTTTTTTTCCAAATGCTTCGGTTCACAACTTTTTCCCAAATGTGTCCTTCGGGTCATCAAAGCTTAATTTTAGTGGTACAATCGGACCATTCTCGCACTATTACTTTTCGTTCGGGCAAATGAACGAAAGGGACTAAATCAACTAAGTAGGCTTCAGGTTTGAAAATGCATGGGATTGGAGAGCCGTAACCTGATGAGACCGTTATTCATAGATTGGCCCAAAGTGAGGCCACAGTGATATTATTATGAGTAAACGCATGCATTGCAGAAACGCGGTTTGCAAATTTGGGGACGTGACTTTCGTAGCAAAGTTCCTTAAAAGAAATCAAATTGCTAACAAACCCAACTTCAAATGCTTCGAGTCCATTCCGGAGCAGCGAACTGACAGTTCAGAAAGGATATTTTCTCCTACAAAAAGCAGCTTGGTGATTTGCTTCTTTAAAGAAGGAGCAGTACTGGAAACAAGAGAATTCGCAAAAAATATCTGGCTTGCTCTGGGACAAAAATACCAAGGTATTTATCACTCTCCGCTTCTTCACATGGAAAAAATTAAAAACTATCTTACAGGTAATTCGTGGACCGTTCGAATGGTGACTGGAAGGATAGAACCATAAGGGCATATGCGAATAACTGTTTTGCTAGCATACTTGCTAAAACTATTTACGGCTGACACCTGTTCAGTCCTAGTTTCCGTTATTGAGCATGTGTTCAATTCTCAGGTTTCTGAATCTGATAGTGAAGTCTTATGGCCCCTTTTCTTGATTGAGGAGTTTGATTGGCGGTTATTTTTCAAAAAATGCTACCGGAAAAAAGTCCCTTGGCCCTGAATGGGTTAATCCGTGTTTCTTCACAAAATTTTGGCCAGTTGTGGTTTCGGATGTTTACTGGCTAGTTGTAGAGCGTGGATGTGCGGCAAGGCTCTTTCCTTACTTTATGAATAGACCCAACATTGTCCTAATCCCAAAAATTGATAAACCTGAATTTCCCGCAGATAGATCTGCGCAATTCCCTTATTAGAAGGTTTATATAAGTAGTGCGCTAAAGGCCTAGCTAATCGGATAAGCAAGTCTGGGGGAAAATTGTCTCCCCATACCAGTCAGCTTGTCCGTACCTGGGAGGCTAATATTACTGGACATGTAATTCTTGCCTTTGAAATGCAATACATTCTATAAAAAAGTCGTGGAGGAGTCCAGAACAGACCAGTAGCTCTAAAATCGATATTAGTAAGGCATATGAAACCGTGTTGACTGGTCTTATCTAGAAGCTAATTAGTGACAAGACTGTGGGTTCTTGTGGCAGCAGTTTTTGTTCAGGCTGATTAATGGAGTGTGTTAAACGTTAGGTTACAGGTTGCCTTGTTAATGGTAAATACTGTTGGTTCCTATTAACTCCATCTCGTGGATTGAGACAAGGGTGCCCAACTATCCTCGTACTGTGTTTCTGCTTGATTTCTGTAGGGGCTTTCAATCATTATTTAGTGTATGCAAGCTGCCGGGGTTCAATTCATGGGGGTTCGTATATGTTATGATGCTGCTTCCGAGATTGTCCCCTCGTTGTTTGCTGACGACCAGTTGTTTTTCTTCAAGCCTTAAGACAGATGAAGTGCTACAGCAATTTGTACATATCCTAAGACAGTACGAAGCAGCATCAGGGACAGCAGCATCAGGACAGGGTGTGAATTTGCAGAAATCAGGGGTTTTTTTCAGCTCTAATATGGATGTCTCAGTTAAAGAGCAGATCAT